GCCCTGTTTCTGTGCGTCAGCCAAATAGCCAACTTGGCAGAGCCAGACAAAAAGTTCAGCAATGTCCAAACAGATTTTCTTTTTGCCAAATACTTTGGGCCAAAAATAAACAGAACAAATGAAAAAATCTCCCCAAGACCCTGAAACAACCTTTTTAGTAAAACAAAGATGCCAACCTGTGGCACTCAACAAACAAATGTGAGGGTTTCAGTCTGAAAACAAAACAAACACTCATCCCTAACCTCAGGATCAATGTGCGCTCTGTATCTGTTCGTAGCTATTGCCCCATGTACGATCCTCCACTGGAGGTCTGCTGTCCGCTTTTCAATGGGCAGCTTGTACAGGGACCGCCAGCTGCCTTTCGGGAAGGAGTCCGGGCCAAAGAACTCAGTCCACCTTGACTCCCCGACCCCCGACAGTGACCGAAGATTAAGGACTTTGACACAGGTTTGATAGAGTTCCTTCTTACCTACATCCTGAAACTTGCCCAGATGTGGTGTTGTAAGAGACAGCAGCTTACCCGCTCCTTCCTGCCACTCCCCCACAGCTGGGGAAACAGACAGAGATGGGAAGCTGTACTCGCTGCCCTCACTCCACTGTTCACACAGAGTTTGGTCCCTCACAAATGCTCTCAGATGTTGTGCAAGAGCAGCGCAGACTTCTTCCACCACCCTGTTAATCAGTCTGATGGAGGTGATTGTTCCTCTCCCCCTCAGGACGTCTACAGATGAAGTGGTCAGCGTCATTAGATGGCCCAGTTTGGTGCATCCTCCCTCTCTGAGTCTGACCCGCAAGCAGAAGGGTTGGAGCTTTTAAGAAGAAACCAAAGGCTCCTCAAACACCCATATACCTGGAGTCTCATTGGTTTCACGTTCAGTTCTTTAAAATCTGCCAGGCCTGCAGTACAGAGCTGTAGAAGGAAGTTAATCCTATGTGGTCCATGGTTGCTACTGGGGTAGCAACCATTTCCACTTAGACAACCGAGTGCACACTTTCTCCTTAACTCCCTCCCAGTTCTTTAATTTAAAACCCTCAGTTCCCAAAAAAACTCCCAACACCCTCAGCCCCTCCCTCCCCCACTCAAGTCCTCCAGGCAGACTGGGAATTGCCTGATCCCCCCATTGACCCAACAACAGTGCCTCACTCTTCTCCCAATTCACCTGTGCAGACGTTTCCTTTTCATACCGGGATAGGCCGTCCTGCAAACATTGAACATCCCCCTGACTGGACACAAAAACATTTACATCGTCCGCATAAGCAGAAAGGGTTGGGGAATGCTCAAGGCCACAGGACACGGGCAAAGACAACCCGCTGAGTCGGTCCCTCAACCTGCACAGTAGAGGCTCAAAAGCTAAACTATATAGCTGGCCGGACATGGGACAGCCCTGTCTTACCCCACGCCGTACAGGGAGTGGCCAACTCAGTCCTCCCCCTATCTTCACCAAACACTGTGCATTGTGATACAGCAGACCAAGCCAAGACACAAACCCATAACCAAAACCAAAAGCCCTGAGTGAAGAAAACAAATAAGAATGATCCACCCTATCAAACGTTTTCTCTTGGTCCAAAGAAATAATCCCAGTGTTTACATTATAACATTTACACACATCAATTACATATCTTATGAGGAAAATGTTGTCCATAATTGTCCTGCCTAAAATACAATAGTTCTGATCTGTATGTATGATATTCCCGAGAACTTCCTTGAGTGTGTTTGATAAAGCTCTGGAGAGTATTTTGTAGTCCGTACACAGTAGGGCAACTGGCCTCCAGTTCTTTAATAGTGCCAAATCACCTTTTTTTGGCAACAGGGAGAGAATTGCTCTTTGACAGGACACTGGGAGAGATCCTGTTCCGCAACACTCCATCAACACACCATGTAAGTCATGTCCCAGTGTATTCCAGAAACATTTAAAAAAGTCTGTGGACAATCCATCAATTCCTGGTGCTCGCCCTGATGCCATCTGTTTTACAGCCATAGTTAAGTCCTCAAGTGTCAGCTCACTATCGAGAGCAGCTTTTTCTTCCAGGCTTAGCTGAGGAAGACCCTCCAAGAGCCCACCACGGCGCTCCATATCACAAGCTTCGGTTGCAAAAAGGTCTGTGTAAAAAGCTGTTGCATGATTCCTCATCTCAACTGGATTGGTGGTAATTCTACCTCCTGGCAACTTCAGACAAGTCATCATTTTCCTTTGTGCCACCGATCTCTCCAGATTAAAGAAAAAAGAGTTTGGGGCATCAATGTCTTTAAACTGGAGGAAGCGAGACCGGACAAGGGCTCCCTTCACTCTCTCCTGCAGGAAAGAGCTCAGTTCTAATCTTTTCTCCTGCAGCAGTGAACCAGTAGTGGTATTCGTGTTCCTATTCAGCCTTTCTTCAATGTTTTTAATTTCGGCCTCAAGGTCTTTAATTGCTGTTTTTACCCTGGCAGAAGAGTGGGACATGTACTGCTGACAGAAAACATGAATCTGGGCTTTGCCAACCTCCCACCAGAATCAGCTTTTTTAATTTTCCATTTTTTCCAAAAGAGTTCAAACTTTGGCAGAAAGTTCTGTCTTGCAGTAATTTATTGTTTAAATGCCAGCAGGACTTAACCCGTTCACCTGGCGAAATGACAAGTTCTGCTGTTACTAAGTGATGATCTGTGAAGCCAACTGGATATATATATCACACTGGAGCAATCTGGGACTGAGAGTTTTTGAAACGTAAAATCTGTCCAGTCTCGCAGCACACACCTGGTTATTGCAGACCCTGACCCATGTGTACTGTCGGGATTGTGGACGTTTTTCTCTAAAAAAAAAAAAAAAAAGTCTAACAGATCAAGGTGTGATATTACAGTGTGTAGAGTCCTGGATGACTGGGTGGGGTTCTTCTCCTATCCTGTCTATAGTAAAGTCTATGGTGCAGTTGAAATCGCCACCAATAATGTAATATTTTTTAGAAGAGTGTAAAAAACTACTCTTTCTGCTCCGTTATTTGGGGCATAGATATTAACAAAACAGAAAACAGAGTTTTCTATTTCTGCCTGAACGATTAACAAACGACCATTTACCACTTCAGTGCAGGATAAAATGGTTGCATTTGCAGATTTTTTTAAAAAGAACTGCTACCCCTGCATTGAAGTTTGTTCCATGGCTAAGGTTATAAGAACCAGCCCACCATAATCCCCAATCTGTCTCATCAGATGTATTTGTGTGTGTTTCTGAGCAGTGGAGAGAAAAACACCTTGTGATACATGATCATTTTTTACTTCTTTGTCTTTTTTGCAGTTTTACCTTTTCTCAGAGTGGTAATGTGCTTCTTGAGACGGAAGCACTTTTTTCCGTCTAGGAGGTCAAAACCAACTTGTCTTTTCAGTACATTAACAGATCTAGTGAATTTTTCGGTGTCACTGAAATAATCAGTCATGTTTACTGATCTTTTGTAAGTTTCATCTAAAAAGAGATTAATTCTCTCCAGTGAATAAAGATCTGTATTCCTTCTAGAGGACTCAGCAATAGACACATTATCTGACTCATAATCATCTTCCATTTCCTCTCCATCACATGAAGCCTGGCTGCTGCACAACCCCTGTCCTTCATTTATAGCCACCCTTTTGCAAGGAGGGCTTGAAGAAACTGCTCCTTCATTATTTCTAACCAACTGTGTTTGTCCATTGATTTCTACCGACTTGGAGCTATGCAGGTTTCTTGAAAGCACATAATCCTCCTGCTCTACAGACTTTTCAACGTTGTTGGTACAAAATGAACCACTGTTACAGATTGCCACAATCCCGCCGGCCACAAATCCGGAATCGGCCGCAACCTCCACGGCCGTGCCAGTGGCGGACCCACCAGCCACTGCCCCAGCGCCCGGGAGGCGCCCGCCGGGCAGCCGGACACGGACCCGGAACCGGCCGCAGCCGCCGAGCTTGGTGCGGACTCACCAGCCTCTGCCGCGCCAGATGCGTCCGCGACTAGCGCGGTTGCGTCTGGCGTGGCGGAGCCGCACGGAGGCCTACTCCCGACAATCACTCTCTTGTCCTTGTGCGGACACGCTAAACGCTTGTGTCCCACATCTCCACATTCAAAACATTTCATCTGTCCCGAACTGGCATACACCATATAATAACCTTCACAGTGCTTGACTCTGAAAGATACCTCCACAGTCTGTGTGGGTGAGTCTAAAAACATGAACACCTGTCTCCTCAGAGACTGCACGTGCTTGAGTTTAGGGTCTTTACACCCCAAAGTAACAGTTTTAAACCTGCTCGCAAATTTCCCGAATCGACGGAGCTCGTTCTCCAACAGCTCGTTAGGAATGAACGGCGGAACACCTGAGACAGTGATCCGCGTGGAGGGAACCGACAGCAGGGAAACCTGCACAAACAGATCCCTAATGAACACGCCGCTCTTTATCAGCTGGTAAACCAGTGGCTCACTCTTAAGGAACACAACCACAGCTTTGTTCATTCGAAATGCATAAACCAGATTGTCATGTCCTACCTGCTCACCTGCAGCCAGCAGAACCTCCTCAACAGTAACAGAACCATCTGGAGGGACAATCCGCACTCCCTGTCGGATAGACGGAGGCGGCGTCTCGGAGGACGCCATTCCTCCTGAAATACCCGCCAGCAGCACCGATAATCACACCAACAACTCCACAGAAAATACTATTAAAGCAGCTCACCTGATCAGGCAGCTAGAAACAGACACAAAACCAATTCAAAGTCTGCGCCACTATTTTCAGTTTTATTTGATATGAATTATAAGAGCATCTTCACTTTGTCACCCTTTAATGTTTGAGAAAATGATTCTGTTAGAACGGTTCTCCACTCACTGTACTGACATTAAAACTGGGACTTTTATATATTTCAGAACCTTTGTTCTACTTTGAGGAACCCAGTTAGTAAGGGTCAGCTGATCAGACCCGAGAGCCTTAAGTAATCCTGTTCTTGAGGTTCTTCAGGTTCTTCAGTCCTTAGTCTTTACATTAACGTAGTAGAGAACTATTTAACCTGTATGAAGAGCCCTGTTAGAACAGTTCTTCAAACATGCTGCAGAGCTTTCATGGTGCATTAAAGTGTTTTAAAAGGTTCTCCAGATAGATTCTTCAGTGATGTTAGACACCTTAGAACCTTAATGACATCCTGAAAAACCCTGGATCTCCAGTGTTCTCCACTTATTGAGCCTTTACTTAAAATAAATGTTTGACGGTTCTATCTGTTCTCTCCCCAGAGACCCATTTGAACTGTTACACAACACTGGGCTTTTGTTTCTATGGCGACCTGTTTGAGAGTGTGTTCTAGTTAGAACCTGTCCCTGTCTGGTCCAGGTTTGGGCTTCAGTATAGCGGGCGGTGTGGGGAACCAACACGTTCCCGGAGACAACAGCATCTACGTCACCAAGATCATCGAGGGCGGGGCTGCTCACCGTGACGGACGGCTACAAATAGGGGACAAAATACTGGCTGTAGGTGAACCCACATTGTACAGTTCTGGTCAACAGGGTTCTAGGTTCTGGTCTGACCTGAGTTCTGACCCCCACAGGTGAACCACGTGTCTCTGGAGGACGTCCTGCATGAAGACGCTGTGTCTGCCCTGAAGAACACAGGGGAGGTGGTGTACCTGAAGGTGGCCACACCCACCTCGCAGTACATCCACCCTGCTAATCGATACAGCCCCCCCGACCTGACCAGCTGTACGTACCTATGATATGTGACCTGTTGTTGGAACACCTGTAACATCTGAACAGGTCTTAGTCCTGGTGAACCCTGTTCCTGACAAACGCAGCTCCTGATCAGGTTCTGAAGGAGGGTTCTCCAAAACCTGCTTATGTCAGAACATGTAGAATTGTTTAAAGAACCCTGTTAGAAACAACAATGTACCTCAAAACCAGAACCTCTCTGATTATTGATTATTGATCTGATTAGACCTGAGTATCATTGGTGTTTGTGATTGTTTGCTTAAAAGAACCCATTAGAAAGGTTCTATGAAAACAATCATACCTTAGAAGAACCTTATTTAAAGGTTCTCTAACTTCTTTACAGTATTGTTAGAACATTTCCTCCAGCCTCTGATGTTCCCTCAGGTCAGGTAAGGTTCTCAGGGGACGGTGGAACCTGTAGAACTGGTCAACAGTCTCACAGTCTCTGTCGTTCCTGTAGCCTACATGGAGCCGGACTACATGTGTGATTACCCACAAGCCCTCCCTCCTCCGTCACCACGGCGATACTCGCCTATCCCCCGTGGCATGATGGGAGAGGACGACTACTCCCGGGAGCCTCGCAGGGTCTGTGTGCAGCGCGGTTCCACCGGTCTGGGCTTCAACATCGTGGGCGGAGAGGACGGAGAGGGAATCTTCATCTCCTTCATCCTTGCAGGAGGACCAGCAGACCTGAGCGGGGAGCTCCGCAAGGGGGACCAGATCCTCAGTGTGAGTACCCAGACCAGATCCTCAGAGACCAGGTCTTCAGAGACCAGGTCCTCAGAGACCAGATCCTCAGAGACCTGATCATCAGAGACCAGGTCCTCAGAGACCAGGTCATCAGAAACCAGATCCTCAGAGACCTGATCGTCAGAGACCAGGTCCTCAGAGACCAGGTCCTCAGTGTGAGTACCCGGACCAGATCCTCAGAGACCAGGTCCTCAGAGACCAGGTCATCAGAGACCAGATCCTCAGAGACCAGGTCCTCAGAGACCAGGTCATCAGAGACCAGATCCTCAGAGACCAGGTCCTCAGAGACCAGGTCATCAGAGACCAGATCCTCAGAGACCAGGTCCTCAGAGACCAGGTCCTCAGAGACCTGATCATCAGAGACCAGATCCCGTATTCACAAAACATCTTAAGACTAAAAGTTTCTCTTAACTTGCTGATTTGGGAGAAACAATAATAATGGGCAGGTCAGTCCTGACTCACAGAGACACTCAACTAGCAGCTCCTCATTCTGAGAGAAGTTAGCAGCAGTGGAGAGGACTCCTCTTAAAGAGCTGCTGTCACTCCACGTCACAGTGTTTTAAACCTTAAACAATCTGAATCACTGAACAGATTCCACTCAGTCAGAGGGAATAATGATCGTTGTGGAGTTAGTGAAGATGTAATAACATCTCCAACTGAAACAACCTGATCAGTGGAGATGCAGTGTTTGGCAATGCTGCGTTACCTAGCAACAGAGAAAAGCCAATCTATCCACCAAACAATGAATGTCTCTGAAATCACAGGACAAGGTTTCACACACCTCAACCCACAGCTGGGACCACAGGTACAGCTACAACAGACTGTGGCTAATAGGCTGTTAGCTTTAGTTAGCTGGTCTAGGACAGGTGAGCTGTTTATTATAAGTTTTTATAGTAAATTGGAGAATGAACTACTTTAGTAAACAGCATCTAATCTGTTATATTTAATTTGTATTTGTTTATTTTTCTGTTTTTTTATTATTACTGCAGGATGTTGATCATGTGTTTTCACCGGCACAGACGGTCTTTCATCAACCAATCACTGTGGTTCCTGCAACGAGTCGCTCTCTGAGCTCAGGAGTTTTCACTTCTCCTCAGTAACTGCTGTTCTCAGCAGAGAGAAGAGAAGAAAACTTTGAAACTTTTAAACTCAGGAGAACTCTTCATGATGAGAGAACCTGGTCTGTGGTCCCGGCTCACCTGGAACACGACAGAGAAACAACAGGTTCAGACAGTGTAGGCCTGTGACATCATCAGCCGACCTGGTGCTCCTGAGCAGTCAGCTGACTTACCTGTCTCTGCCCAGACCTCTGTCTGACATAGTCTTGTGTGTGTGTGTGTGTGTGTGTGTGTGTGTGTCTAGGTGAACGGTGTGGATCTCAGGTATGCGACACATGAACAGGCGGCAGCAGCTCTGAAGAATGCCGGACAGACCGTTACCATAGTAGCACAGTACAGACCTGAGGGTGAGCGCGTACACACACACACACACACACACTGATGTCATGTCTTGCTGTAGTTTGGTTGCCCTGGTGATCTTTCCAGGATGTAACTGTTACCGTGGTGATCTTGTGGCAGAGTACAGTCGCTTTGAAGCGAAGATCCACGACCTGAGGGAGCAAATGATGAACAGCTCGTCCGGCAGCCTGAGAGCCAACCGCAGCTTCTACATCAGGTAAACCTCACCTGGGCAGGTGAACTGCATCAGGTCCACATTAATGAAAAAAAGTTGATATAAACAGGGTAAAGACATGAGACCCCCCCCCCCCCCCACCACCACCACCACACACACACACACACACACACAGTCTGTGCTCAGGTGATGATCAGGTGTTATCCTCACCTGTTGCAGGGCACTCTTTGACTATGATAAGCAGTGGGACTGTGGCGTCCTATCACAGGCTCTGGACTTTAACTTTGGGGAGGTGCTCCACGTGATGGACAGCGCTGACGATGAGTGGTGGCAGGCCAGACGAGTGAACCAGCAGGGGGAGCTGGAGGAGCTGGGGTACATCCCCTCAAAGCACAGGTGAGTCCACAGGTGAGGTTTGTTAGCATCTGGTGCACTCACACAGTCCTGGTGTCTAAACGTGTGTGTGTGTGTGTGTGTGTGTGTTTGTGTGTTTCAGGGTGGAGAGGAAGGAGTGGTCTCGTATGAAGAGTAAAGGTGAGGCTTCAGCTCTCAGCACACTGACGGAGGGAAAACCACTTCCCGTGTGTAACTGTTGTTTTCCTTCGTACAGGTCGAGAAGGTTTCGTTCACAGCTACGAACTCATCACTCAGATCGAAGGTCAGTTACTTTTGACCCTTGACCTTTTCATTAGTTCATTAGTTTTACTCACCTCACACACAGGTATAGATGAAGCTCTCTTTCTCTCTCTCTCTCTCTCTCTCTCTCTCTCTCTCAGTGGACTATGCTCGTCCTGTCATCATCCTGGGTCCGACCAAAGACCGGGTCAACGATGACCTTCTGTCTGAGTTCCCGGACAAGTTTGGCTCCTGCGTCCCCCGTAAGCCTCAGACCAGGACGCACTGCAACATGTGACCAAACAGGAAGTCACTGACAACCCTCTCTCTCTCTCTGCAGACACGACTCGGCCTCGGAGGGATTATGAGGTCGATGGGCGGGACTACCACTTTGTGTCGTCACGGGAACAGATGGAGCGGGACATCCAATCACATCGCTTCATCGAGGCTGGGCAGTACAACAACCACCTGTACGGGACGTCAGTGCAGAGTGTCAGACAGGTGGCCGAGCAGGTGAGGCAGGCTGTTACCATGGCGATGTTCTCTGCAGGGTTTATATTGTTACTATGGCAATCATTAAGTGAAATTTCTAGGAGAGTAATGTTTGTGGAGGGAGGTGGTTACCATGACGATGGCTTTAGAAAGTTGTAGTCATGGTTGCACTATCCCAGGATTATGGTTACCATGGAGATGTTTACGTTTACGTGTTGTCATGGTTTCTATAGTCACATGTTGAATTACCATTATTTACGTGGAAGTGATTTCTAGGGTGCTGTGGTTGTCATGGCGATGTTGTTAAAACCTCATGACTGTCCCTGTGATGTTTCTGGAGGTTGTGGTTACCATGGTGATGTTTCAGTATGTGGTGAATTATGACCATGTGCATGTGTGTTACCAGGGGAAACACTGCATCCTGGATGTGTCGGCCAACGCCGTGAGGCGGCTCCAGGCGGCTCAGCTCCACCCCGTCGCCATCTTCATCCGACCGCGGTCGCTGGAAAACATCCTGTGAGTCCTGAGGTCACAACACAACACGCCGACTCTGTGTTTCAATGAGACTAACTGCATGTGTGTGTGTGTGTGTGCGTGCGTATGTGTGTGTGCAGGGACCTGAACAAGCGTCTGTCAGAGGACCAGGCGAGGAAAGCTCTGGACCGAGCGATTAAACTGGAACAGGACTTCCTTGAGTGTTTCACAGGTAAAAACACTCGACAGGTGTTTCACATCCCTCAGGTGTAACGTTCCACCTGACACCTGTGTGTGTGTGTGTGTGTGTGTGTGTGTGTGTGTGTGTGTGTGTGTGTGTTTGTGTGTGTAGCCATCGTGCACGGCGACAGTTTCGAGGAGGTCTACCACCTGGTCAAAGCCGTAATTGAGGAGCAGAGTGGCCCCTACATCTGGGTCCCTGCCCGAGACAGACTCTGATTGGCCCACTGGCTGCCATGGGGGCCGTATCCATGGAAACCGCCACCAACACCTCCTCCCCACAGCACCTCCCCTCCCCCTCTCGGCGGCGTGACCTGATGGAGAGCTGACAGTCTCTTCTACTGGAGGATGACGAGCGAGCTCAGTGATTGGATGGCTGCTGTAGCCACGGCAACCAAGAGATGTTTTTTTTAAGAAGAGGGTGAAGCTGTCTGTGTGTGTGTCAGAGAGACAGATGATTGATTCTGTGTTGGTTCAATAATCCTGTATTATCAGTAAATAATGAATCAGACTGTAGAGTTCAGTTGGTATTGAAGTATTTATATTATCCTATTTATTTATTGATTTATCTATTTATTTATTTATTCATGTGATGTGAAAATGGTGAGAGTGTGTGTGTGTGTGAGAGTGAGTAAGTGTGTGTGTGTGTGTGTGTGTGTGCATTTTTGTGTAGTGTACATAAAGGCTTGTGTGACTGTAAATAAAATGATGGGGCTCAAACACACAGTCTATTCAGGGCTTAAAGTGTCAAACAACCACTGGACTACAACACCCACAATCTTCTTCTGTTTGGACTACAATACCCACTATCCCCTTTTGTTTGGACTACAACACCCACAATCCTCCTCGGTTTGGACTACAAAACCTACAATCCTTTCTAACTGTTTTACATCCAAACCTCACCTCTACGTGGACTACAATATTATATATTTGGACTACAACACCCACGATCCTCCTCATTTGGACTACAATACACGGAGTCCCCCTGTGTCTGGATTACTACAATTCCCACAATCCTGTTTTGCCTGGAATACAACACCTTAACCCCCCCCTCATCTCGACTACAACATCCACAATCCACCTCTGTTGCAGTGGATAGTTTGGACAGATTTTAGCAGTCACTGTCTCTGGTTGCTTAGCAACAACAAGGAGGTAGAACTGAAACACTTCCATTTTTAAATAAAAGGCTATGGACTACATTACCTACAGTTCCCTGCTGTGGTGACAGATTACACCACCTACAAAAATCTACAGCAAAGGACTACATTACCCACAAGTCCGAGCTAAAGATCACCTACCCACAACCCCTGGCTGTGGGTCTATGCTGCCAGGATTCTGGACTACACTACCCATGATTCTCTGCTGCTGAGCAGGACCTGAGGAAGATGGGGTGGGGCGTGCTGTGGGTGGAGCTAAAGCTTCAGGCTCACAAAAACACCTGGGCATGGTGGGGGCGGGGCATGGTCATTGATGACCACTCCCACTCCTGTGTCCTTAACACAGGAGTCGATTACCCACAGTGCTTTGGGAGATTCCTATCCTCCACATGTCACCATGGCAACTGGTTTCTGATGTTCCAGTGGGTTTTTAGACTGAAAATCAGGGTCATGTGAATAATTATAATAATTGTTATAATAAAAAATAATCATGATTATTGATGATGTGACATCATCACACACACACAGACACATAAACACATAAACACACACAGTAGGGTTACCTGAGGTCGTCTTTTCTTTCTGAGCACTGACAGAAACACTATTAAACCTGTGGCATATCTGAGTATTTATCTCACACACACACACACACACAGACAGACAGACAGAGAGACACACACACATGCAAACAGAGACACACACACAGAGAGACACAGACACACACACACAGAGACACACACATACATTCACACACACACATTCACACAGACAGAGACACACACACACACACAGAGGATGACTGGCTCGTTGTATAATGATATAAATTAGTTATAAATGAAATTCTTGAAATACTGAATAAATAAATTCCTTATAAAAGCTGATCTGAGGTCTGTGTGCTGGACGCTCAGCTGTCACATGATGTAATGATGATGTTATGATGATGTCATCATGTTCATGTGTGGACCTGAACTTGGACAGTTTAAATGTGACTTGTGGTGTGTGATTTCCTCCAAAGTAAAAGCTCAATCATCACATACATCAGCTGTGTACAAACACATTCACATACAGTCTATAGCTGGAGGGAACAGGAAGTTGTGGTTAGATGCTGCCACTATATATATATAGATAAGGGGGGAGGGGTGGGGGGAGGGGTGGGTCACATATGACGTTAATGTTTGTGCAGAGAGCGACTGACGGACAGTCGTCACCCAGTCAACATGAAGACTCCATCTGTCTCTCTGCTGCTTGGTGAGTCCACACAACGTCTTCTATCACTCACTCACTCACTCACTCATCCACAGAGGAAGGGTTGGTGTGTTTCAACTCCTCACTATTACATCATCGTTTGGTGTCAGTGAGGCGTTCAGGTGTCACTGTGGACCTGACTGCTCTCCCACAGTGTAATCAGATCAGAGGTAACTGTGGTGAGTCATGTGACCATTAAAGGGGACATATTATGCAAAATGCACTTTACCATGGTTTTCTATCAGTAATATGTGTCCCCGGCCTGTCTACAAACCCCCCAAACATGAGAAAAATCCATCCTCTCCGTCTTTGTAAAGCATCGTTTTCAGTTTCGGAATTCACCGTTCTAATGTGGACGGAAGGGCTAACCGGATAAATATTACCCGGGTTAGTGTGGACATGGGCTTATGGGAACATATAAGACTGTGGGAAAATAGGGCCTAATTTTCAAAACATTCTTAGAAATGTGGGAACATAGGGCTGTGGGAACATAGGGCTGACCCTGTTGTAGCAGGCTAACCATTTCACGTCGGACTGCTTTCTCAACGAGGGCCAGTACAATGCGGGATTCGCTGCATTCTGAAGACAAAGCATGGATCAGCACCGACTGTCCGAGACCCAACTTCAAACCTGGGAGCTGTAAGTTTAACCATTTTATGTTGCTTTACTGTATGTACACACTGTTGCGTGTGTTGTTAGCATGGCAGCTAATGTGGCTAACATTTTGCCTCGTCCACACAGCCGGGTATAGCCGGGTACAGATTGTATGCAATTCTTCTGCTTGGTATCGCTGTGTCACGTTGATTAGAGCCACCCTGCTAAGTTTATCACACTTAAAAGGCGTTTTAGCTGTCTGCAAAGTCAAGCCCGTAAAATTCAGACTAAACAGGCTTTGCAGCGATTAGCATAGGTGTCTGGGCTTGTTTGTTAGTGCTGTGAAAGTTAGTATTGAGAGTCATGCCTTATGATGTCCGTTTTAATGTTATATCATGTTTACAGATACAGTGCCTGTAGGGAATATCTAGATAAGCCCACCAGTTACAGGGAATATGTGAAAGAGGATAGTCTGTTATACACTTTTTTTGCGTTTTGCACATATAGTGAGCTATTTGCAGCATTTACAAGCTTTTGACAACCCAGTTTACACACAATTGAGTGCATTTGTTTTTAAATTTTTTGCACTGCTTGCAGCTGTTGCCATAACTACACATTTGAGGAGATGTTGGTGTAACCTCTGTTTCCTCTGTTCAGGCCAGCACATCAAGTGCATCTATACAGCTTCCTGCAACAAGGGATGTTGCATGCCAGACTGACCCACTGTAGGCACACAGTTATCCTTGAGGACTCTTCAGCCTCACATCAGAAGTACAGGTCTGTAGCCACCTGAACATCTACTTTTGATAAACCTAACAGTCATTTATCAGTCTTGGAATGCTGTGCAGGTAAATTAAGCTGTGGTTACTTAGAACTTGTGAGAGTGTGTAGGCTAAGGTTTCTGTCAATATTAACATCTTTGATTTTCTCTTTACTGTACCTCCAGACTCTACCTGGCTGCCACGTACTACAATGAAAATGCTGACCGACCACAAGCCCAAACAAAAGAAGGTGAACCACTGTTCAAGGTCCAATTTCCAAAGGCCATGACGGGAGAATGCAGAGCTACACCAGTTAAGACTGAGCCGACATTCTATAAGTGTTATATTATTTTATTTTTCAACCAAGAAATGTTTTGTACACATTGTATTAAGTATTGCTCGTATAATGTTATGACAGTTCCACCAACAACAAAGTACAGTAAAGAAAATGTCAGGAGGTAGTTAGAAACAGACTTTCAATCATTGTTTTGTAAAAAACAACAAAAAAGTGAAAAATGTAAACAAAATCTTTTGTGTTTTATCAAACAGGGTATGTGGTGGACCTCATATTTGAAAGAGTCTTTTTTGACCTGGGACCATACACAGAAGCTGCTTTGGCCATCCCCATCCCAGAGGACCTCACTGCACAGTTCGAGCGGCCTGAGAAGGAGGAGGTCATATCCAGCTATGTGTCCCGGTTCTATCATGGGCCAGTCTAAAACCCACGTACTGGCCTGTGGCGTCAGGAAACTCAGCATGGGTGCGTAGGACCATGCAGGCTGGAATGACGACCCAGATTCTGCGACCAAGGAAGCCCCAGCACCAACTCACAAAGCTCCTATAGGCTAGATAACTGTACCAACTAAAACAACTGGACAGGGCATTTAGTCTTGCAAACATATCTATGTTGTGTCTCACAATTTTTTTTTATGGATCCAGTGAGTCCTACAGTTTTTTTACTATCATTGATTATAAGTGCCTCGTTTGATGTAAATAAATGCTTGATCGTTACTAAAGAAATGACTCCTCTGAATTCATATATTATATGCACACTATCTGCTGATAGAAGAACTTTACAAATCAAAGAGCAGCTAAACTAATTTATTTGAGGGTGTGTTACTCCATTTGTGGTGTGTTATTACCATTGTAAAATTATGTGCACTGAAGTAAAATAAGACTGTCTAACATCTTTTATTTAGATTGAAACTATGTTTTTACAAAGAAGCAAAATGCACTGGTGTATTCCTCTCAACCGTAAAGGACCATAGTCAGTGCAGTACATGTTGCAGGCATTCTGGAGGGAGTACACATTGAGGCAGACCGACTCCAACCCAGGACGGTGTACCATACATGGTAAATCTTCCTCGATTTCCCATAGCCGTCTGGTAACCTACAGTGAATGTTGGAATAATTGTATATGGATTTATCTCATATTTTCTACCTAACCATGTATCCTGCTTTACAGTTTAATAATCATGCATCCAGTTTGTCTTGTGTTGAAGTTGTTTTGCAGGTAGTAGCTGCTAGAGGAGATCACAAGCTGTCACGGTGCATAGAGCAGACTCTACTTCTACATCATGGGATGAACATTTGAACAATATATAATTGTGCACCTATCATGTTGCTACTGTGTGATCTCACCCTTTAGAACCGCAACGCCTTGTAACTAGTGAAGGCCTTGAAAGACAATAAAAAGAGAGGACACGGCGGAATATGCTCAGAGCGGGTTGGAGATTGTAACTAAGCATATCTCTGTCCGTTCTCCTCGCGAGTAAGAA